TGAGCGGAGCAAAGGATCTGATTTTAATCAGATTGACAATTTCTAGGTCGAATATCAAAATTTAAAAAAAATCTCTCCCTAATATTTTTGTTATTAAAAAGAGTATGTTTTCACTCAAACTAATCAAACTTCAAGCAGGGTTTTTAGTATGAGATACATGTAGTAATATATTCTCAATGACATTATAAGGCTGAAAACATTATTATACCCCACGCGGGTTCGAATCCCACTGCGGGACATGGAGACCGGTCCTTCGGATGAGACCGTATAAACCGAGGCCCCGTGTCGCAGTAGGTGTTGGCACGAAAAAGATCCCTCACTGCTCAAAGGCCCTAAGTGCCGAGCATAGGACAAAATTTGTAGCCCTCCACCGGCAAGTGGTGGCGTCTCCATATGAGTGAAAAATTCTCGAGAGGGACGTTAAACAATATATAATCCATCAATCTTCATAATAATCGTCAAAGAGAGTTAAACTATTGAATATAGTCTGTTCCCTATTCATTTGACCCTGTTCGTTCAGGAAGAGAGAAGGCTTTCTCTTTCTCTTGGTCAAAGCTTTTTTGTGAACAAAACAATGCAAGGAACAATACCAATGCTGAAGCAGCCTATATGTCATTCTTATAAACGATAACTCATAAATCGACACTAAGTTGGTCATTTTTCACACCTGAGTTACCTGTCCTTAAACACAACATCGGAAAAGTCAAGTATAAATGATTAAACTTTTTAATGAGGTAATTAAAAGTATGCACAAGTTATTATCTTTTTTGATAATTTTATGTACCCATAAATCTATCTATACAATGTATTTTACCATATGTGCAACATGAAAAATTAGTTGAAAGGCCTACATCATATTTATATGGAAGCATGCTCAGGTAGTGTAGATTCAAGTTTTCAAATCCTGACCCCCGGGGGTAGGGCGGGGCCAAAATGGCCGACCAAATTTTGAAATAGAAATATATAACAAAATTCTTTTAAAATTTTCTTTTCAAGGATGACAAAGCCATAATTGATCATATTTATATGGAAACATGCACAGGTAGTGTAGATTCAAATTTGTTCAAATCATGACCCCCAGGGGTAGGGCGGGGCCAAAATGGCCGACCAAAGTTTTACATAGAAATATAGGAAAATTTTTTCGATAAAAATCTCCTCAAGGATGACAAAGCCATAATTCATCATATTTATATGGAAGCATGCTCAGGTAGTGTACATTCAAGTTTGTTCAAATCATGACCCCCGGGGGTAGGGCGGGCCAAAATGGCCGACCAAACTTTTACATTGAAATATACAGGAAAATTCTTTTAAAATCTTCTTCTCAAGAATGACAAAGCCATAATTCATCATATTTATATGAAAGCATGCTCAAGTAGTGTAGATTCAATATTTTTTAAATCTTGACCCCCAGGGATAGGGGGGGCCAAAATGGCCGATCAAAGTGATCAAAGATATATATAAGAAAATTTTTAAAAAATCATTTTCTAAGAAATATAGCAAATCCATGATTGGTCATGGGACTACTTTTGGATTTAAACTTAAGTTTACATTAAAAAGCCATTTTCTACTTTTTCCTTCCCTTAGTGCTCAGGTGAGCGATGTGGCCCATGGGCCTCTTGTTTTGATAGATTTAAAAAAATATATGCATGTTTCTCATTGCTTTCTTTAGAAAAGTTAGGGAATCTTGAAGTTTCCCAGTAATTTCCACCAAGTTTCCGCCACACAAAAAGTGCTACACAAGTTCCACATAGTTTCCCGAGTCAAGGAAACTTCAGAAATCATATGGTTTCACGAGTTTCCATGTAGTTTCCCATAAAAAAAAATCTTAAGATTCCATCAAGCTTCCATTCCATGGAAACCACTTCGCTCCGATTCCATATGGATTCCTGAGACAAGGAAACTTTAGGAATCGTGAGGTTTCCCGAGCTTCCATATAGTTTCCTTTAAAAGGAAACCTAAAGATTCCATCAAGTTTCCATTCCACGGAAACCCCCCACGCTCCGTTTCCATCAAGTTTCCTGATTATGAAAACCAGTGGAATCTTCAGGTTTCCCATTACGGGAAACTACATGGATGTTCGGAAAACTTCTGGTTTACAGAGCTTTCCATGGTTCGGGATACCTTATGGAATCGGGGCGTAGGGGGTTTCCGTGTCACGGAAAATTGGCGGAATAACCCAGCATCCGCTATAGAACCCACTGGGAAACATGATGTAAACTTGAGGTTTCCATAAAGTTTCCAATGATGGGAAACCACTTTTTTCACCCAGTGGTCGCAAGTTCGCATCCCTCTGTGGGACGTGGAGACCGGTCGTTCGTATGAGACAGTACAAAGCTAGGTCCCGTGTCGCAGAACGTGTTGGAACGAAAAATATCCCTCTCTGGTAAATGGCCATGAGTGCCGAGTATTGGTCAACATTTGCAGCTCTTTACCGGCAAATGGTGGCGTCTCCATATCAGTGAAACATTCTCGAGAAGGACGTTAAACATTATATAATCAATCAATCTATAAATTGTTATCATAATTAAGAATTTAACGGAAGTTTTATTATCTTCAAGTTTAAACCATTATTTAAGTTGCCATGGCAAACGCATTGCTTTTAACAGACTGAAGAAAATTACCAGTTTAGTATTTTTTTTATTAAATTTGCTTGGTTCATTTTAGCTCTAATGGTCAGAGATCAGAAGAGCTTATGCGAGAGTAATGCGTCCGTAGTCCGTCCGTCGTCTGTAAACAATTTTTCAAAATGCTATTCTCCTACAGTTTTGGTCTGATTTCAATATAACTTTGCACACAATTAGACTACACTAAGATACATAATTCTTTTTTTTTTCTTTTGTTTATTTTGATGAATGGTGTTGCCGTTATTACTAAAACTATTAATTTCTGTGAAATTCTTTCAAAATGCTACCCCTTCTACAGTTTTGGTCTGATTTCAATATAACTTGGCACACAAGTATGACAACACTAAGATACATAATTCTATGTATCCGTTTTTGATTTGAATGATAGGGTTGCCGTGGTAACTAAAATTAGAAATTTTTGTTAAAAATTCTCAATATTGCTACTCCAAATACAGTTTAGGTCTGATTATAAAATAATTTGGCATGCAAGTAGACTACATTAAGAACATAGAGAGACTTAATCAAGGATCCTTATTCTTTTTATTGCTGTGGTAAAGTTTCAATTCACAACTGCTTAAGAACTTTTCTCTTCCTTTGCTATAAGACCAGTAGAGCTTCACTCTCGAAAGATAACACTTAACCACAAGACCAAATTTCGCGCCATTCTCTCACAAGACTTTGAGAAAGATGGCCACGCCGAAGAAGCTTTCGAAATTAATTGAATGAAACGCCTGTCAAAACATTCATGGTTATGTACACGAGGTGTCCCCATTGAAGACTTCCAAAAATGAAAGAAAAAATTAGCTAGCTCACATACCCCACGCTCCCCCATAACGGTGAAACACATAATGAAAGGCACAGTGCACTTTAAATACATAGTATAGATCAAAAAGGGCAAAAATTGCAAAAAAATCTTCTCATCAAAATGTCTTGCATATGAGGACATTTAAATGTGGAATGAAGTTTCTAGATAAATAATGGAATCAAAATTTCTTGACAATATACGAATCCACATATTAATTTGAAGTAAGGGGGGATGAGGAATTTTCTTGAATAATAGTCACAACTCTTTGGGATAAAATAATGGAATATGTTCTAAATATCAGCATAGGTTGACGAAACTATGTAAAACAGTTTAAGAGGAGTGGTGCTGACAAACTGTTCATCTCTATATTTAAAATATGGCCACAAAGTTTAAGTTGGAAAGTGTGGAAATTCCTAGAAAAATAAAGGAATCGAAATTTCCTGGTAATATGCACATCTACATATTGTGTCCTAAATATCTGCAAAGTTAAACGAAATTCTATGCGGCGATTTATGAGGAGTTGCGCTGACAAACTGTTCATCTCTATATTCAAGGTATGGCCAAATGCCCAAGTTAAAAGTGCGGAAATTCCCGGAAAAAATAATGGAATCGGAATTTTCTGGCAATATGCATATCTACACATTGTGTCCTAAATACCTGCAAAGTTTGACGAAATTCTGTGCAGCAATTTATGAAGAGTTGCGCTGACAAACTGTTCATCTCTATATTCAAGGTATGGCCAATTGCCTAAGTTAAAAGTGCGGAATTCCCGGAAAAAATAATGGAATCGGAATTTCCTGGTAATATGCATATCTACACATTGTGTTCTAAATGCCTGCAAAGTTTGACGAAATTCTGTGCAGCGATTTATGATGAGTTGCGCTGACAAACTGTTCATCTCTATATTCAAGGTATGGCCAAATGCCTAAGTTAAAAGTGCGGAAATTCCCGAAAAAAAAATGGAATCGGAATTTCCTGGTAATATGCATATCTACATTGTGTCCTAAATACCTGCAAAGTTTGACAAAATTCTGTGCAGCGATTTATGAGGAGTTGCGCTAACAAACTGTTCATCTTTATATTCAAGGTATGGCCAAATGCCCAAGTTAAAAGTGCGGAAATTCCCGGAAAAAATAATGGAATTGAAATTTTCTGGTAATATGCATATTTACACATTGTGTTCTAAATGCCTGCAAAGTTTGACGAAATTCTGTGCAGCGGTTTATGAGGAGTTGCGCTGACAAACTGTTCATCTCTATATTCAAGTAATGGCCAATTGCCTAAGTTAAAAGTGTGGAAATTCCCGGAAAAAATAATGTAATCGGAATTTCCTGGTAATATGCATATCTACACATTTTGTCCTAAATACCTGCAAAGTTTGACGAAATTCTGTGCAGCGATTAATGAGGAGTTGCGCTGACAAACTGTTCATCTCTATATTCAGGGTATGGCCAAATGCCTAAGTTAAAAGTGCGGAAATTCCCGGAAAAAATAATGGAATTGAAATTTCCTGGTAATATGCATATCTACACATTGTGTTTTAAATGCCTGCAAAGTTTGTGCAGCGATTTTTATGAGGAGTTGCGCTTATTAGTGAAGTTCTTCTTTGTGTGATTAAAGTCTGAAAATTTATTGATATTAGGATCAAAAGATGAACGTGCCTTGGAAATGGTTGTCGTGTCATTATCCATGACTAGGTCTTTTACATGAAATCCCTTTTCCTTCAAATTGTGTAACATTTCTACGGCAATGTCAGGCTCCATGGACTTGGATGATCCAGACCAATTTTTTCTACAGTCGTGACTGCTGGTTGTGTCATTGGTGATATCCTGGTCACACTGTTTACATTTCTTGCATCGTACAGCATATGCGAGAACTTTCCCTGTGGTCACACCAATCATACTTCCATGTCCTTAAATTCAAAGAAAAGTTGTGCTATGACTGATGTAACAAATACAAGGATCTGATGTTTTATTTTAAAATAAACTTATATTTTTAAGTGTATAAAACATGGACATTTTTTCCTCTAAAAAAGGGTTCATATTTTAAAAGTAATGCAAAACTGAGTAAAACATTTTTGACATGACTCATTGTTATGTAGGCATGTTATCTTACAACTAAAATTAAAAATAAATTATTTGGACATACCTGATAAGCTGGCATAGTTTCTTCCACTTCCCCGTGTTTGCCAACCAGCATCATATGAAACAGTTTCTTCTTCTTTACAGCTACAAATGACAAATGGAAATATATAAGTATATAGATAATGATATATACAAATGTACATTGTATATATACATGTAATTACACATGAAAGAAATTTATTTCAGTTCTCTTTATAAGAAATTTATTTCAAGTACCCGTCTTTCTCTTTTTTAATGGCTTCCTGACATGTCATTTCTGCTATTTCTTCAAATGCTGCACCAGCCTCTCTCTCTCTCTCTTTTAATGTCTTACGGTCAACATTTGGTAAGTTCAGTGCTGCCAAAAATCTGTTCACTGTTGTTTCTCCAATTCCAGTATATAAAATAGCTGTTGAAATGTAAATGTTACAAATTTCAAATATTACAAACTAAATTAAAGGTGATTTATTGTGACACGAATAGGCATTTTTTTTTTAAATTATTAAAAATATTTTCTGTTATATATTAAGCACATTTTATATCTTAAAATATATTTCATTATATCCAAATAGAGTTATATCTGTATCCATAAAAATATTAATATGATAATATTACCAGCACCCAGTTTTGAATTTATATCCCATACTCCGTTTTGCCGTCTCTTTCCTGTTGGAATTTTATTTAATTTTTGGCAAGCAAGACACTAGATATGAAGCATACTCCCTCTAAGAAGATAATAAGAAGAAAATAATTTAAATGTATTTTGACAAATTAATGTCTTTTAATGTAATAATATTGAAAATATCACTCTTTATTTTATTTCACATTACCTAATCCATATCTGCTTTCCCCAATACATGATGAAAGTTGCAATATCTGTCCACACATGATTTCTTCAGTTGATTGCCCAACACTTGCAACTCCACTATGTGTCTGCCGAAAAGGGGTATTCCTGGGATGGATTCATCATCATTGTCATCCAATAAATCACTTTCATTGTCAGATTCGAAGGCAGATATTTTCAAAAAGTGTCTTTCCATCAGATGGATAATCACCCTTTGCATGGGCCATGTCTCGCATTTGTGAACAGGCTGCAGCACTACCTGTTAAATAATTGAAGTAGCTTAAAAAAATACTTATTGCACTTATAGGCGTGCTAAACATAACTTTTATATATGTCACATTAATGTATGTGCATCTCAGTTTAATCAACGATCTCGTCTTTGTTCGAGAGCCCCAAAATTGCAATACATTGGAAAATATAACATATGAAATTGTATACCTGACGTATATGCGTGATCTAGGAGTATATTATCATGTATCTCTTCGTCGTGTCTTGGCTCCGCAAAAAAACTTTCCGTTGTCGTCGCGGATTTTAACATAATTTTTCTGTGCTTTTCTGTTTTCACCAATCGTCCCTTTGTTTGCACATTTTTCATCTACGTTGTTTTAAAGCTTTTTTCAGCTCGATATTGCGCCTTTCTGCAAACATTGTTTAGATTATGATGTTTTGAAGAATTTTCGTATCTCCAATATTAGAGAGTTCTTTTAAACGGTGTCTGTAGAAATTTTGACTCGAAAAAAGGCACTCAACAAAATCAAAACAATACTTCGAACGGAAGTACGTCATAACATGGACGTATCCCGTTCTACCTTAAGCAGAGATTATGAAGTCTGCAGCAATCTCCAGAGATTTAAAACAAACCTTTAAAACAATCAAACTCTTTTACAATAAAAATTCAGACAATAAAAACTGTATTATATATTCTATCGTTTGCATACCATAGCAAATAGTTATTCAGAAAAAAGTACCTATTTCAATGCCGGTTTAAAACGATGAACATCAAAGTTTACATCGTCCATGCAATCTTTCCCTTGAAACTCATTTCATTTTAAAACTGAATAAGATTAGTAAAAGGAATGTGTCTGCCATTTTTGTTCGATATACCTGCAAACCACTATATAAAGTGTAGGGCTTTGTCAATGTTCAGTGTAATCAGTCGACACCAGTGTAGACGGACGTATGCTATATAGCACTCGGTAACTAAAATAACAAGCATTCTGAGAGTATTGCATAAGCAATACATGTCCCCTACCGGGTTCCTCTTTTTCTTCAGGATGTCATTTTTTTAATGTGCAAAAGTCATGTCCAAAGTTAAACTGAAAGATTTTCAAGTTGTAAATGCCTTAAATCTAATAAAATAATAAACATTAAGACGACAATTCAACTCATTTATCCATCGTCTTTTCCTCGCTTCATATTTTTGTCGACAATCGGAAGTTAGCGCAGTTCGAACCCGATCTCTATTAAGCGATTATAAAAAATATTCAAAATGCCATAATTCTGTCAGAAATCAATGAAGCGAAACGAAATTCAAACTTGATCTGTAACTCATTAAGATACACTCACTTACCAAAATTCAGCTCAATATCTGCAAGTGTTTAGAAAAAAAAGCGGAAAACCAAGTGGGAATGAAAAATATTCAAAATGCCATAATTCTGTCAAAAATCAATGAAGCGGAACGAAATTCAAACTTGATCTGTAACTCATTCAAAATGCCATAATTCTGTCAAAAATCAATGAAGCGGAACGAAATTCAAACTTGATATGTAACTCATTAAGATACACTCACGTACCAAAATTCAGCTCAATATCTGCAAGCGTTTAGAAAAAAGTGCGGAAAACCAAGTGGGACAGACTGACGGGGACAGACAGACGGACGGAGAGGAAACCTATAGTCCCCTCCGGTTTCACCGGTAGGGGACTAATAACATGATACTTCGTCTAGCACTTGGTAACTAAAACAAGAAATCTGTGAGCCAATGCTTAATAGTAATACCCCTGCTCTGATGTAAAAAAGCACTATAATGTTATTATACTGTTCACACAAGTTCAATTACAGGCAGATGAATTTGACCTCAGATTCATATCAAAATGAATCCAACCATATGCATGATATAGCATGCCTCAATAAATAAACTTTCAAGCATCTGTATGAATAGCTAATAAGAAAACTGCTACGAAGATTTGTCATGTATGAAACGGACAGACGCAAATACAAACAGGAAGATGACATCGGATTTAAGCAAAAATGTATCCCACCATATGGCATGCCTTAGAGAAGATTGTAAAATTTCAAGCATCTACGATGAATAGTTGCTGAGAAAACAGCTACGAAAATTTGTTATGTATGAAACGGATAAACGCACAGACAAACAGTAAGTTGACATCGGATTTGAGCAAACATTTGAGCCTCAGAAAAAAATAAGTTAAAATTTCAAGCATCTACGATGAGTGGTTGCCGAAAAAACTGCGACGAAAACTTGTTATGTATTAAACGGACAGTCTCACAGTCAAACAGGAAGTTGACATCGGATTTGAGCAAAAATGTATCCCACAATATGGCATGCCTCAGAGAAGATTGTGTTAAAATTTCAAGCTTCTACTTTGAGTAGTTGCTGAGAAAACTGTGACGAAAATTTGTTTCGGACGGACACACAGACAGACACACAAGGGTAAAAACAGTATATCCCCCTCTCCTTCGGAGCGGAGGTGTAATAATAACATGATACTTCTTCTAATGCAGGAAAGTAAGATACCAACGAAATTTGCATTATAGTTGTACAGGTAAGTGCAGTATACAAACACTTATCATATACACTCCTTTCATGTTGTTTTAAGGTGCACTGCACATTGTTCTGCAAACTGTAATGACAAAACTATAAATTATGCAGATGTGAAAAAGGAAATTAGTACCGAAATCTGGATTTAAGAACACCAAATGCTCTCTCTATCACGATTCTTGTCTTCGTCAGCGTGTCATTATACGTCTCCTCTTGCTGATTACTTGGAAATAGAAATGGCATGAGCAACCATTCTTTAAGGGGGTAGCCTGAGTCCCCAATTAATCAGCCTCGCTCTGGCAATGCTACCATAATTGCAAGCAAGCTCGAATTGCTCAGCACATAGGCATCATGAGTGGCCCCAGGGAAGCAAACGTTGACATGGATAAAAAAAAATTAAAATAAAAAAATTACTGAAAAACCGAAGTCATATACATAAAAATTTCAATATATAAGAGTACAATGGTGATAACGATACTCAGTGGATCCAGAGAGGGGGTTTCGGGGTTTACCCCCCCCCCCCCATTTGGATTTGCAAAATAGATTTAAAAAAAGAAAGTCCCAATTTTTATCATGTGTTTTACTATTGAACATTTTCAGTGAAAGGCTAAGGGTTTAATTAATTAAGAAATTCGGTTGTGACAACAAAATGAAACCTTTTTAAAAACTTTCGGATAGGAACCCAAAAAGGATTTTCCCAGGTTGATCAACCTCCCACTTTAAAATCTCCACCCTAGTTGCATCTTACTGAGTAATTTTAGTACATGTATTATGTAAAACATACATTATACATATTGTAGCTGATTTCATTTTTACCCCCCCCCCCACCCAAACCTCTTTGAAAAATTTCTAGATCCACGCCTGACAGGTTTTTTTTTTATTGTTGTGTATTGAGCATGTAAATGTATATTGAAATTGGAAAATACGCTTTCAAAACATGTGAATGTCGATCCCGATACAATTAAGTATTAAAATTGTATTAAAATTCAAAATAGCCTCATTTTTGAGTCAAAGGTAGCCTGGACGTTCTGGGCATAATAATTCTTCCTACAGACGTATGCAGCTTCCTCTGGCCCACCCATGCTTTTTATTGGAATACGAATATGGCAGATCCAAATTTTACAGAGAAATCACATTAGGGTTACAAGTACCATACAGTTATTCTTTGTCTTCTGGTTTCCTCAGTTTCAGTTTGACTTGACTGCTAATAAAAACTACTATACATAATCTCATTTTGTTTTAAATCTACATTGCATGCTCCTGTTCTTGAACTTATACACAGTTAACATTATAAATTCAGCTATTATTTAAATCCAGATCTCACGTACATAAAATGAGGGATTATCCACTGTTAAAATTAAATGATAACTAAAGTAAATTTTTTTCTTTAAAATGTATACGGAAAAATTTTATAGACAGGAACAGCACAATTTAAAAAAAAAATATGCACATATCTTGACTAGAAAGTAGAAAAAGAAAACAAAATGGTTGTTCAGCACATCTTGGTATGGCAGATCCAAAATTCGAGATGAATCGCAATAGGGTAACATGTTGTATAAAGTTATTCTTTATCTTCAGGTCTCTTCAGTTCCAGCCTGTTAAAAGAAATGCACATATTATATAAATACAAGAAGATATTCAGACTAGAGCCGAACTCGTTGCAAAGCAACGAGTAGGTCTTCCGTTGGAGCTATGGACAGGAAGTACCGAACCTGGGTCAAGGTCACTGCACTTTCTTATATATGCACTTTCTTTACCCATGTGTGAAAAAGGTTCTGAGTGACATGATAGCTCCGCCCCCTTGTGTATTCTTAATTTGCAGGCTCCCTGTTGTTTTGTTTCTTACATTCTTTAATAAATGAAGATTAATATATTAATTGATATTTTCAGGGACTGTATATTTACACAAATTCATGTGTATTTAGAATAAATTAAAAATAAATTATTTAAAATTTGATAAATAAGGAATACATGAGAAAATAATTATCCCTAGAAATTAACTACAAGTTTATGAGAACAAATAGCTACATGTGGGCTTTTTTAATTATTTAATGTTAATATGAACTCAAAATTAACATTGGCACTAATTAAAAATAATCATTGCAGTAAGATATAAGATTTTTTAAATTAAAAATGCTACACATTTTATAAGGACCACGCTAAAAAAAAAAGAGTATTCCATGTAACCCTCAAATAAAACCCAACAATTTATTAAATGACCGTGAAAGTTGACAAGCAAAAAAAAAAAAAAAAAAATAAGTTGCCCGAAATCGAAAATCCTCTTTCGTGGGAGAGGGGGTTTAAACTTTTTCAAAGCCTAATTACTTTCCCTTCCAATTTCCCCCCTACAATTCCTTGATATCACTATACTATGGTACAGAGTTGGGGGGGGGGGGGGGAGGCAACCATCCTGTCAATGAACATTTTCCAAAAATAATCATTGCAGTAAGATATAAGATTTTTTAAATTAAAAATGCTACACATTTTATAAGGACCACGCTAAAAAAAAAGAGTATTCCATGTAACCCTCAAATAAAACCCAACAATTTATTAAATGACCGTGAAAGTTGACAAGCAAAAAAAAAAAAAAAAATAAGTTGCCCGAAATCGAAAATCCTCTTTCGTGGGAGAGGGGGTTTAAACTTTTTCAAAGCCTAATTACTTTCACTTCCAATTTTCCCCCTACAATTCCTTGATATCAC